TCTAGGGTTGCAACTGGTCACCCTGCCCTTGCACCTCACGAAATGCCCCCATACGACCAAGCGTCTCAAATAGCCTCTGCTGAGGAAGCCCTACTCACTGCCTTCTCGCGGCGGAGGTGTTTTCCCACCAAAGTGAGAGGACGAAAAGCCGGTATCCGGGGCTGTAGCCGGGTTGGTGGACCACTGGCAGTTCACCTAGGGGAGTTGGCCAAAAACCCTGATTCCAAACCAACCATGAGGAGACGTACGAACCACACCCACACCTTTTCGGTTGTGGCAGTGGTCACCGGCTCTATTGGGCATTGAGGTGTATTGGGCACCTTGGATGTCTGACCCCGTCCGAAGGGCGTATGATCCGATGAACTGGACACCGGCTCCCAATGGACTGCGGTTTTCGCACACCGCCCCGCTGCCTTGCGGGTCAGGCTTTGGCTAGCCGAAGGCTCCGGTTGTGGATTCCTCAAGAAAATTCAGCTGCCTTGGCCTGGGCAACCTGGCAGTACTCAGCCCACAAGCCAATCATGGAACATTTTTCTTTTTATAAAGATTATTGTACCATGGTTTGTTTGGCACACAGTCTGTCCTCAGACAAGTGTGATATATATATATATATATATATATATATATACATTATGTTCACGGTAGTCATAGTGATAGTGTCATCAAACTAGGAATGCACAGCCGGCAATTCAAACCAAAATATGTGTAGATGGTCATTGTTGTGTTGAATTTGGTAATACAGCCGCATTTGAGATCATCAGCGTTATTAAATACCAGGGAAACGTCTTGTGGGCGGAGTAAGGGTAGTATTCAGTGACTTCTTATCCATATTTTCACGGATTCCTCAGTTAAGTGTGCCATCCGCTCAAGCTTTTCAGGTATAAAATATGAATACCATGGTTGTTACTGCGGTATTTAATTCGCACATCTTCCGTCCAAGATATGAATACTGCGCTTATGACTGACCCCTTCCCTCCAATATAGATTTTCTCGTTGTTTTAGTGTTAATTACCTGACACCTGGTTTCTGTGAATCCATATTCCTGATTAGATGGTAAAATGACGACCGTTTCTTATGGTCACAGCCTTCTGCGCCTTAGTTTTCCACCCACCGTTTTGTGCAAGCTGTTGATAAGCTGCTGCAGAATGCAAGTATACCACCCACTTCGCCCCAAGGCAGCTGATCAGACTGTTTTACTTTGTCCTGACACGTAGTTTGATCCAAGCTTCTTGTCAGCATCTGACCTCGCTTATCTTAATACTAACCGTCAAAGTTCATTACCCTGAAGTGAAGTGAGTGATATGCATACGTTCTAACTATGTTCCGGGCGTCCATCCTTAGTTGAGTTGATTGGTTATCACCGTGGATGAGATCCAACAAGGTCGAAACAGCTCCATTCATTTCTGCTGTTCTTTTCATACGACCGAAATCATCATCAGTGTTCATTTGTACTGATATCGGACATCAGCTTATGCGTCTCTTCACCTCCTACCGAACACCATAAACAGACTGGTCATTTCCGCGACCTCTGGTGTTGTGCATGCCTGTGGCTCAATGAGTTCCACAGAATAATCGTTCTTTATTCTAAGGTCTAATCATGTCCAAAGGGACGAAGTGGAGAGATAAAACGTTCTAGAGGTTGCAGCATACACTAATTTGACTGTTTGTGAAACTGTGGACTCCAGTTAGCACCGTAATTAGCAGGGAAAAGGTGATCATTGATTCATTGGAAAAGCGATAGCGCACAATAAACGACTATACCTGAGAATGCGGCGGGTTTTCCCCTGGTAGGCCATCTCTCTGCCGTGCGCTAATTTGGCCCATCTCTGTCACTCTGTTATCCTACAATTTTAAACACGAGAGGCGCATCCTCAAAGCAAAAGAGTGAGCGGCTCTTGGCACATCACTACTCGTGTTCCCTAGCTTTTTCAACGATTCGTCCACATTGCTACAATAAATTTCGTTCATGTGAGATTGCTTCATCCGTGCACGTCCTTTTCACTTGTCGACGAACTACACTACTAGTTATCTGCAAACCATATATGTCTCTGGGAACCGTCCATGGTTATTCATTTTTACTATAAGTAATCAAAGTTAGTAAAAGCTTTCTTTGTTTTTCCCAACATTTGTAAATAGAACTTTAGTTTAAAGTGTCCCCTTTACGAACGCCACGTTGTTTTTCCCTTTTCACTGTGAATGTACAGTAAAAGAAGTTGAACATATTTTCCTAAAGCATTTTTGAAAGCAGTCAATGATGATTAGATTGTTAAATTTAGTTTATCACATCTCGATCTGATAGGGCAAAATTCTTTTTCACCTTTCGGTGTCAGTCTTATAACATCGCGATGCGATTTTCCGAATGTTAACTCGAGCCCTTGACGTTAGTGCGAGGCGAATAATGAATTTGATAGTGAATGCGATTATTTGTGAACACATTTCCATGGATCTGCACCTCTCACGGATTAATCGGCCAATAAAGGATAAAAATCGAAGTTATCGATTAAGACATGGAATAAATATACTTACCATATTATGGGTGAGTGAATCAACTCAACACATCATCCTCTTTCGAGGTAATCTCATCGGTACAACGACAATCTAATAGTTTGATTCGGTGTCGCAAGCGCATTGACAATGAAACTCATAGGTTCCACCACCACAGTCCTACTTCAGGATTATACGGCCACCCGACTACTCGACTCGGTATTGATTTTGCAATCTAGAATGAACTAACCTTTGGCTTGCGTTTGTTCCACAAACACTAATTTCGAACGTCATTATGCTTTGTGCTGCTCATAATCTGATAACAGAATTGTTTTATTCTCTCGCTTTGCTCTATGCCTTTCGCTTTCACTTCGCAGAGTCGGTCTGGATCCCGGGGTCGAACTACCTGTCATGTCTTGCTGCCTTGCCTATCCGGGTATGCCATGTCCTTTGTACATATTTGAACCGCAATTACGGGGCATGATACGCCGCGCTGTGAACTCCGGCTCGAGACGTTTCGGTTTGTTCTCCTCCGGTTCGCCCGGTTCCCCCATAGCCGAGGTAAGTGCCATTGCTTGCTCCAGACCACAGGAAGACACTGAGCTTTGTTGTGTCATTCACAGTCGGGTGAAATGAACTAGAGGTTTTAATCGTGTGCACCCTGCATGAGACTGTACTAAAGTCATACTCACATTATCAGATCCAAATTTGGAACGGATGTTATTGATGCAATTGTGCGTCATGCTCATAGTATTAGATTCGTGAAGGAAAACGTTTGGATTAGCCATGACGATGAAAAACCAAAACCAAGTTTATTTTTTGGTGACGACGTTTCGACCCTCTTGGAAAGCCTTTATCAAGTCAATTAACAAGCGAACATGTGAGTCAACCCAAAAATAAACTTGTTTTTGGTTTTTCATCGTCATGGCTAATCCAAACGTTTTCCTTCACGGATCTAATACTAAAGTCATACTGTTCAATTTCGGATATCATCTCTGATGTCCTTATCATGTTTTGCCCTTCTTTGCATATATCCTGACAGCTCGTGGGTACAACCGAGTAACGCGCGTGCGATATCATGGCGTTTCTTGAGCATATGATGAAATGATGCTCCCAACGGCACCTTGTTCATCATTTGTTTGGTATGCGTATTCGGCACCGCAAAGTACTTCTGTTGTTATAAGCCAGATAGTTAGTCCTATCACTTCTTCATCTTGCTCCGATCCGAGTTGCCATTTGATACTACTTCTTGTGGCTCAAAATTTTCGATAATCAAAATCACTATGGTCTCTTTGCAACAGGCAGTCCACCATTTACATGTCTGCCAGTTTTCGCCATTTGACCAGGGAACGCGTATTGGCACAATTTAAGTGTCAGAGAGTCATGATCAAATTTGTTTGTTGTTTTTAATCCGAATTCGATCGATCGTTTCTCTATGTTTTCTCTTTTTTCAGATCGGAACTATTGTACAGATTACAAATCATGAAACATTACCCGACGGGAGGATACTGATCGATACCAAGGGTTGTGATCGCATACGGGTGATCAGCCAGCGTGTTCTCGATGGACTAGTGCATATCAAGTTTGAGTTCTATCGTGACCTGCCTGTTCCAGAGCAGAATAAAGAAGGTAAGTTTTAATTTTCGCATGACAAATTTGTCATTAACTATCAGGACTACATTCAGTGCTATGTGCAGCTTATTACATGACTCCTTCTGTTCTAGTTTTTTTATTTATTTTTATTTATTGGTATTATTAATATATTGTGTTTCATTGGAGTTTGAGTTCACATTGGGTCAAACAAATCACGGTGCAACGATCTTTATGATGAAGAAATCATGTCATAATTCGATCGTTTGAAGAGTACCGCCAGTTTGACCCATCCAAAGCAGGTGAATTTTTTCGGGGCTTACAATTGGGGCCTTCGGTTAGCCAAAACTAACCCCACAAGGCAGCCGGACGGTATGTGAAAACCGCAATCCACTGGGGAATAATGTCTGGGTCATCGGCTCATGCGCCCTTTGGACGGGGTCAGACGTCGGAGATGCCCAACACATCACGAAACCCCGGTAGCCACTGGTGAAGCCAGGAACATGTCGGTGTGTTTGGCGTGCCTGTCCTTGTATGGTCTGAAATCCAGTGCTCTTTGCTGGTTATCACAAACATTTTCATCGCATTTGAATGAATTATCTCGTGGGGAATTAACGATCTCCCAAGGAGTGAAACCCACACCCAAGACCATCAAGAGCGCCTGGTGTCTCTGAACAATCGAATGGGCTAATCTAAGCTTGATACTCTAAGTCTGAAATCAGTGTTTTTAACCAAATATTCTTGGTGACGTGCCGGTTCAGGAACCCGATTATAGCTTCGGACGTAAGCTTTTCGTCCTATCACTTTGGTAGGAAAACATTTTTACCAAAGCTATTAGAGACATTTGATTTTATACGAACAGTTCGCGAGGTGCATGCGAAGATTGACCTGTAACGACCCGAGACACCCTGAGGTTTTCAAAGGCATCTGAAATAACCTCTGTTGAAGAACCCCTATTCGTCACCGTCACGTGTTTCCCCGCAAGTGAGAGGAAGAAAAGCCAACATCCAGGTCTGTGAACGGGCTGATGAATGTCTGCCAGTTCACCGTGAGAAGGTCCTGACGTCAAGATTGCACTGTTTTAAATATGCTAACCGCAGATGGTATTATAAAGCCAGTGAACTGTGCGGTGCGTCGCGCTTATCAGCTGTGTGCAAATCGCCACAGTTGTCCTGAGTTCGCACTTCACTGAATCGCCTAATCACTGTCAATTGCACTGCGTTATCCGTGGGACTCATCATCCGGATCGACGGAAT